ATAAATTATAAACAATTTTAAAAGTAAAAACATATAACTTTTAGTGGCCATAGTAATGGCTAGTAATAGAGTAGAGAAAGATAAATTAAAAAAAGTTTTACTATTATAAATGCCAAACAATTATTATCACTAAAATATATGTATTTTTTTCTCGATAATATAATTAACTATTGTTGCCGATATTATGATTGTCGTTACCATTGTTGTTGCCTCCATCACATCATCATTGTCACAAAAATTGTGACAATGGTGGTAACCATAAAGCTACTATTATCATTGCTATCATCATCACCACTATTATCATTTTCATCATTGTTATTATTTTGACCACCACTATCAATAAATTTAGTGATAGTAGTGTCAACAGTGTCGCTACCATCACACCACCATCACCACCACCATTGCTATCATCGTTATTGATGTTGTTGTCGCCACCTCAATTCAAATATTATTTTGAAAATACAAAATAAGTTATGAAAATAAACCCTAAATCTTATAAATTTGAAAATGAAAACTATTTTCAAAAAATATAAATAAAAAACAAAAATATAAAATATTTTCTTAATCCAAACAACTCCTTAGGTTGCAATCATTCAAAGGTGTTCCTAATTTTTTACCTATGTTTCTCACCAAATTATTCTCATAGGTGATTTAAAAATCTAACTTTCCAATAACGACATAAATATTGTTAATCTCGAGAATACTTATGACTAGCCAAATAGATTTAAATCGTTTTTAAGAATCGGATTATTAGGGTTCTTTATTTTTATATATATAAAAAATTCTCTTCTTCTAAACACACACTTATTATAAACTATATAAATATATATATATATATTATATAACCTATTCTATTGACTATATATATATATATATATTTTGTCTATATTAATTAAAATAACTATACAGTACTCAATTTATAAGAGAAATTCTTGAATGAAAAGACTTTTAGTTGTTTTGTTTAATGTGTAACACCCCGTTTTTTGAAAAATATTATTATTATTATTATTATATAGTATTTGATTAGAATTATTTTTATTGTTATAGAGAAATATATTGTACATTTTAAATAATTATTTTTTTTATATTTTGGATAATTATTTTGTTCATATTAAATAAGTATTTTTATTAGTATTTTAAATAATTATATACATATTTTAATGGATAATTTAGGAGTTGAGATGAGATACAACCTCCTATATTTTTATAATTAGATTAATTATATATTTTATTATAAAATCTAAAAGGTTGATTTTATAGGATATTAAAATTATATTATTATATTTTGGTTCAAAAATATATTATTATTATTAGGGAAAAATATTTTGTATTATATATATATTTATTTATCTATTTATTTAATTATTTTGTGGAACACAGAAGCAGGTCGGGAAGAGAAGAGAGTTGGGTTGACCCGACCCAATGAATTATTTTAAGAAAGGGGTCGGGCAGAGTTAACCTTATTGGTCTCATTTTACGTCCTAAAGGATTAGGAAAGAAAACGAGGAGAAACAAAGAGCTTTGAGGAGGAGTGCTCAAGAAGTGTTTAGAAATGATTTCCAAATGGTATCATAATATTTGGATTAATGTTGTAACTAGGTATGGGGAAAAAGGGAATTTTCGTATGTGAAATCACATGAGGGAATGGGTAGAGGGAAAGTTCCCTAGGATTTTTGGTAATTTTATATTCGTTTTTGTTTGGATGTCAAATGATTTTGATAATTTCTATGTAGACTTGTGAGTGTATTTCTGATATTAGATATTGTTAAATTAAAATTAATGTTCCGAGAGAGAGATTGAGTTGTTTGAAATGTGCGTGTGAGTTAGGGTTCATAAGGGATTGAGGTTTTGATAATTGGTATGTTATTTTGTGAAATTGATGATTAAATTGGGTTTTATATTGATTTATAAATGTGGTTATCATATTATTTGGTAAAATTGATGATCTAGATAATAATTAAATTCATTGGGATGTGCTCTATAAGTTAGGATTCTTGTATATTAATGAACACCCTTAATTATATGAATTAATAAGTAATTGAGAGATTTTACTTATGGATGTACCTTAGCATATTTGTAATATCTTTATGTATGATTAACCAAATCAATTTTTGTTTGTTGGGTTAGAAAGTAGACACTTGGGGCTATAATTTAGACTCTAGAAACATGTAAAAATATTAAGAATTAATTTAGTTGAGAGTTATAAATTCAGTCTTCATTCCAGTGCATGAAATATTAAGTTTTGAGTTGATAGTCATCCGAGGTGACCTTAAAGACAATTTTAGGCTTCTTGTTATTCACAAAAGGTGTAGCTTTAGGTGTTAGGTTTCTAATGACTTTTGAATCACTTAAAAAGGATGTGTATAACTCAATTTATGGTCAAAATAATGAGTTAAGGTCAAGCTGTCAAGATTTACTATGCCCGGCGCAGGTATTCTATTCTAGTTTGTGTTTGTGACATTTTGGGACTACCTTTTTGGCATGTTTGTGATACTTTATGATTTTTTAGTGATGCTTTATAATACTTATGATATGATTGAATGAGTTTGATGTGGGATTGTGAAATATGGTATTATATTGATGAATTTTGATGATGGTTGTAAATCGTATGATGTCTTGTAATGACTATTGTATGAAGAGATATAAATGGTGTGTGCTGAATAGAATGTAAAATAGTTGTGAATTAAGAGATTGATGTGTATAAGGAGGTTGTGTAAGATATGTGTATGACCTATTATTTTATGTGGAAATGTTGGTTGTGCATGTGATGTGGAATTGAACTATGGAATGTGGTGTGATGTCTTGGCACAAATGTATGTGTGGCCCGACATTGGGCATGTGATGCGAAAACAGTGGTGTGAGCATGACATAATGTAGGATATGTGTGGTAATTAGCGCATATGTTGGCGTGACACGACGTTGGACATGAAATGCTACAGCGATGGTAGTGTAGGATATATATGACAATTAGCACATATGTCAACATGACACGACGTTGGACATGTAATGCTAGCTACAACGATGATGTGAGCATGACATAGTGCAAGATATATGTGGCAATTAGCACATATGTTGACGTGGCACAATGCTAGACGTGTGATACAACAGTGGTGGCGTGAGCATGACATGGTGTTGGTTGTGTGATATGATGGATATGGATGATGTGTGTACGTATATGATTTGAGATTTGATGATGGAAATTATTGTTTGGATATAGGTAAAATTGCACATGTCTGAATGTTGGAACTTGTGATTTTATATTGTGTAGTATTAAACTATATTGTAGAATTTCCTGGTGTGCTTTGTATATAAATGTTTTTTTCCTCATTGTACATCTTGTTGTTGTTTTTAGGTGAGGAAGATTCGAATACGAGTGGTATCCAAGATGTCAATAGTTGAGTCGTGAGCGTACTCGAATAGTGTGACATCGAGACAAGGATTTTCTAGAAATGAAGTTTATTTGTATTTGGAATTATATTGATCTCTTTTGGATCATTTATTGAAATTTTTTTATTATTTTAAATCCGATTTTTAAATCATTTGGTTATTGAAGTATGTTTTTAAAGGATTTATGTGAACCATTTTATCTTTATTAAAAATTTACTTCTTTATTCCTTTATATTATTACAATATATATTATGGGGGTAGAATGGATGTCACATAACGAGAGTTTTTTTTTTTAAACTCTATCTATTTTAATCTATCTTTTTTTTATTATTATTATTAATTCACTAAATTCCAAATTTTTAAAAAAAAAATTATTTTAGCACAAAAATAATATTTTACATCAAGATTTTATATTAATTATTAAATATTTAATAATAATAAAAAATTGACAATTTTTCTACATCAATTATAAAGGAACCAATGTATAATTTTCTCTTTTACATTGGTTATAAGTTTAACCGATGCAAATGAGATATTATATATCAATTCAATTTATAAATTATATGCAAAACTCTTTTAAACCATCTCTAAAACTCCATTTAGCAACGTCTTCAATGTTGCAAACATTTCAGACAAGCTTTTCTCTTAATTTTAATTTGAAGCCAATGTTAATATCATCATCGTCCATCACCTCAAATGATATCCACCGACGACATCCATCATGAACACCATTTTCATTTTTGCATTATTTTTGGGTTTTCTTTTTCACCGCTTTTCTTCCTATAATTTAATTGTTCCTCATTTTTTCAAGTTTCTCTTGTCTAGCCCTAGATCACCATCTAAAATTGATAATAAAAAAAATTGCAAGAACTAAAACAAAATAGAACAATATTTGCATAGAATTACAATATATTTAAATCTAAAATTATTTATGAAATAAACGTATAATTTTGAAATTAGGAAAACAAAATATCATATTCCATAACGGCTGTCTTGTTATTTTCCGCAATTGAAACTTCAACGGTGAAGAGGTCCGATCTTAAATTTTCAATAATGCAGATTTGTCATAATTCATCGTTCCATTTTCAAAACTCTGCCATAATTTATAATATGACTATTGAGTCAGATCGTAAATCGATAGTGGATTAGATTTATGATAATGAGAAAGATAAAGAGTATGACATGATTCCTAATCAAATTAGATAAATTATAAGATTTTTTTTCTTTTATTGTTATTCAATATGATTAAAAAAAAAGTAATTGAATAGTTGTTTTTATGCTAAAATTTTATTTTGTTTGACTGTATGAGAATGTTCATTTTAAAATTTCTTATTGGATTCAGAATAATATTTTAGTGGAAAGAATATGACTATGTTGGTGTAAAGAAAAAAAGGGAAAAAAAAAACCATAATCACTAGTCGGTATTAACTCTACATTTTAAAGAAATTTCCTGTGTATTTCTTAATTTCCGCTGAAATAGTCGTCGTTTTTCTCGTCTTTTCTGATCTTCTTGGGACCTACAAGTCTCTCATTCTTAAAGGAAAACCACGCGTTTGTAAGCCAAGTCAATACACGAAGCTTTTCTTTATAAAAGGATCATAAAAAACTTAACAAAACTCATTGAAATATTCTATCCTCCACATGGCCTCCAAGAACCTCAAGCTCAGGGACCTCTTTTCTGAATCTGGTAAAATATTCAAAGCACACTCTCGCCACTTCCACACTCTCACCCTCATCTTCCTCTTCCCCCTCTCCTTCCTCTTCCTCTTCCTCCTCCCTCTCAACTTCAACCATTCCTTCACCAAACCATCTTCAACAACAAACCACCAACCCTTCTTTCACCTCCTCTATTCCCTTTTCCTTTCCATCCTTTCCTACTCTGGAGTCATCAGCATCACCAACAGCGTTTTCCACTTCTTCTACGACCAACCCGTCAACCTTCTTTCTGCTATCAACTCCATCTCCACCTCCTTCTTACCCCTCCTCGCCACCACCGTCGTTTCCCATGTCATCTTCTTTTTCATCTCACTTTTCTATGGCCTTCTCTTGCTTCTTCTCATTAGTGGGGCTACCCTTTTCAGTGTAACAATTCCACACTCTTTTCCCCCTTACTTAATTGCGTTCTTTGTTTCGCTTCCTTTGCTACTTGTGCTGGTACATTTGCAAGTCAAGTGGACCTTGGTGCATGTGATTGTGGTCGTGGAATCATGTTGGGGTTTGGAGCCCCTAAGAAGAAGTGCGAGGTTGATCAAGGGAATGAAACGGGTGGCTCTATCTTCTTTTCTCTTCTATGGGTTCTTCGCCGGGATCATTGTGGGGAACTACTTACTTTTCACGATGAGTTCTACTTCTAATAGGGGTAACGGCAACTGGGTTACTGTAGTGTGCAAATGGGGATTCACTGCGTCGCAATCTTGTTTCCTTGCACAGTTTATGCTTTCTAACATTGCGGTGAACACGGTCCTGTACATATATTGCAAGGCTAATCATGGTGAGCTTGCAGAGGAGTTTGAGAAGGACAGTGTTAGCTTTCTCTTAGATGATGGAAAGCTCTCTAATATTGCTGTTTAAAGTTACTGCCTTACAGGGTAATCGATCACTGTGAAAATTGTAGGGTTAATTTTGTTCTAAGGACTACATATTTTTTGTTTTTGTTCCTTCCATGGATTTGTGCAGATATATTTTTCTTCTGTCTCAGTGACCAAAATAAATGTCTCATGTACGTAGTTTGAAGAGTAGACACTCGTATCAGTGAATGAAATTGTGGTTGCAAATACTTATAATAGCATATTTGATTTTGTATATTTTTGTCGGTGATCTACTTGTTTTCTGTGATTTCTGTGGTTGTCTATGTCTAGCTGGCGTTATCTTCTGTCATCCAAGGTTCCTAATTCTTTTATGTTTAATTTAAATTATTGTAGAAAAAATATGTATATTTAAAATGTATATATATTTATATATATATAAAATTAAATATGTTTTTAGTCCACATAAAATGAATAAATTTTTATTTTGGTGTCCACAACTATCTATCATCTTTGTAGAATAAGTTTTGATAGATTTATTTCACTAAATAACTCATATTCTATATTAAATTTTAATTATTTAATAATTAGATTAAAAATTCTTAATAAATTTATATAATGAAGTATCATATAATTATTAAATTTTTTAAAATTTTGTAAATTTGATTTATGAATTAAAGTTTTTTAATTTAAGGATTAAATTGTTAAAATTTGATTTAAAAAACATAAATTATTGAGTGAAATAAGTGAATATCTTTCTATATATAGAAATTAAAGTAAATGTAAAATAATTTTTCCTATATATAACTTTTAAATAAATAATAATATTTCTTAAAATATTCTACAATATGTATACATAGAATATTTTAAGAAGTTTTATTATTCATTTAAAAGCTATAGAAAAAAATATTTACATTTACTCTATATATATATATATAAGAAATTTATTTACATTAGGAGTAAGTTTACCTAAATTTACTTTGTTCAATAATTGGTATTCTACATCAAATTTTTAAAGTTCTTAATGCATATATCAAGTTTGTAAATTTTTTTAAAAAATTTGAAAATCATTTAATACTTTATTTCATTAATTCAAATTGACAGATTATCATAAAATTATTTTATGCTTTGATTTGAATTAATGAAACGAAATATCAAATGATTTTCAAATTTTTTAAGAATTTGCAAACTTAATCTATATATTAAGAACTTTAAATTCAACGGTTGGATAGTTGAAATTTAATACAGAATACGAGTTATTAAACAGAGTAATTTAAGTAGACTTAGTTCTAAAATAAACGGATGATTGATCTTTATATATATATATATATATATAATATAAATTAACATCTTGAATGAGAATAGTTTTTTTTTACCTTAGTATTGGTATAAAGTATTCATTACTAGAAGAAATGATTAATATTTATTAGAGATCGTGAATGTACACAAGATGAGAATTCTTGATAATTTTTAAATATGTCTACAATTTTTCTCCAATTTAGGTAATTATTAAATATATCTTATACTTCATAATCATGTTTTTAGCCACAAATACATAGTTAGAGTTAATCTTATTTTTAGGATAAAATTGTTTAATATTAGGTATTTTTAATAGTCTTTTGTTGAAATGTGACACACGGAGAATGAAACTTGAAAGTTGCAAAGTCTCAAAAGAAGTGAACATAGCATCACCCCAAGATCCATGACATGCATTTTGAGTGAGCCTTTTTTCAAAGAATTTTCTTAAAGAGATCAATAGCTCTATCTCAACAAGTCCACACAAAGACCACCTTTAAGACGTGATGTTAGCTCACTTAAATAAACGAGTTTTCCGCTATAAGCGAGCTAGAATTTGCTTAGAGCAATTACAACAAGAAATTGAGCGGCCCTTGTGACATCCTTACTACCCCAACACATATATTGTAATAATTGCCCTTCCTTCATCTATATCTAAGCAAGCATGAAATTTTTTAATGTCTTGACATTTTGAGAAGTTGCCAATTGACCCTTCAAACTAATTACTTCCTTTTTTAATTGAGAATTTTCAATGGAATCAAAATTCAAAGAACTGTACCCTACACCACTAAATCTTGTGGATGATTGAAATGCAACGCTATGTAGACCTCTTAATCCAAAGCAACGTACACGTCTAGAATGATCTTTTCCCAACATTTTACTAAGAATGTCATTACTTGAAATTTTTATAGAGTTGGCACTTTGACTCATTTTTGTTGACATCTTCTCCTATAAAATTATTTTTAATAAATGTACTTCAAGTACAATTACAAAAGATAAACAATCTATATTTAAATAAATTAAAATTGTGCAAACCAGAATTTTAAAGGCACATATAAAAAGCATTAATAATGAATGTTAGTTTGCACATCCTTGACTTTTCATTGGTTAGTATTGATCTAGCTCCTTTAAAATAAAAATGCATATTGGAAAATAAATGCTATAGTTGGTTTGAACTGTATCCCATATTAGCTAGAGAATTTTAAAGGCTTGCGAAGTTTGAGTATGAGCCAAACATGAGTCTCCAACTATAGTCTATAATTAATCCTAGCTAGGAAAGGATAATTTTATGCATGTTCAGTCAAATTCTTCATTTTTTGTATCTTTCTATCTGTTTGTTTTAGAATTTATGATTATTTTTAGATTTATTTAAGTGTAGTGAATTGTGAACATGATTAATGTTGAGGTGGATGATTTGGCATACTAGATTAAAAATATGTATTTGAAATGAATTTAGACTATCACTTATCTTGAGAAGATGACAGAACCTCAACTAAGTTTGTTTCGTCATGTGAGGAGTTGATTAATAGAGTTTTTGAAATTGAGTCAAATGGAGAAGTCAAAAGAGAGAGACCCATGTGAAATTTTTTGGATAAACTATTAAGAAAGATTTTTCTCTAGACTTTTTTGGATAAACTATTAAGAACTATTTTAATGAAAAAAAATAGTTTTGATAAAGCCTAATGATAGACTTTGATCTAGTGAGATAAGACTTGAGTTTTGTTTTTTGTTGCATATTAGGAGGTGCTCTATTGAATTATAATAGTTAGTCACTTCTATCCTTTACCAAATTATCATTACTACAATCAATTCATATTCCATGTTTCCATATATATATTAATTACAAATCAACAAACTAGAATTGAAGAAGAGAATGTAAGATAGAAAGAACAAGAGTGAATTGTTAAGTCAAACGAAGCGCACCTGCAATCCCACCAATGTTTTGAATATGAAAAATATAATACATATTGTTATTACTAACATGTGCATTAGTGTTTTAGTCGGATAACAAAAAGCCCAAACAGTGGAATATGTTCAAGCATAATCCGGCTTGACAAAACATCAGACGATAGAAAGGCCAGCATTAAGACTAAGGTTGATTCAGGCTAAAATCAAGATACAAAGTCTATCAGCAGAAGACTGAGGCATCATACGCAAAATATTGGCCAAGACATCGACATGAAGTGACCATCAAAAAGAACCAATATAAACAAGAAGACGAAGTTCTCACTTCCATACTTAGACAAAAAGGGTAGTCAAGATCAGACGTAGTATCTTGTAACTAGACGATGTCAAGAATATTGAAGCACGTCTGAAGTCCACTAATCACATTGAAAGGAATTATACAAGAAACGCAAGAGGACATCAACATGAATAAAAATGGGAAAACATGCATTCACAAGTCAAATTAAGTTGAGTGCGTCAGAGAAAGGACACCTACTTTTCAGAAAAAGACAGCACCACAGCAGCTAAACTGATGAGGAAAGTAAAAATATACCTAGATCATGATTGAAGTCAGAAATCAAAGAAATCAACTACACAGAGAGACTCCACGAATACAAGAAAACATTTAATGTAAGATCAAATGCATTAAATGAGAAGATTTGCATGAACATGATCGAAGCCTCCATCTGCAACGTCAAAAAGTTACGCTCCAATGAACAAATAAAAATTCAAACAACAGGCAGATTTATAAAAAGTATATAAGTATCAAGACCAAGAAGAAGGAGATATTGAACAGAGAAGCAAAAAAAAGGAAGCGTGTAATACATATCTCAAGAGAATCAACTATTTTCTGTATATCTATGTAAAAACTAAGATAGCTTATCTTAGTGAGTGTTGTCAATAGTTCATCCTCTCTACGAGAGTAACCAAACACTCAGACACTTATCTCTGAAAAACTAAAGTTACGCAGTGTAGAAATTACCCTATCCTCTCTGTGAGAGTTATACACACACTCAAAACCTATAACTGCTGTAAAGCTTGAAGAGGCTGGTAGAAAGAATACTTGTGAACCAGAAGTGGTTAAGAATACTAGTGTTGGTGAGTGAAGCCAACAGGCCAGGAGTGGTCAAGAGTACTTGGAGAACCAGAAGTGCTTAAGAATACTAGCGTCTAGTTGACGAGCCAAAAGTGGCTGAGAATACTTATAATTCTTTGTGATTAGTGGAACCCTTCTGTGGAAGGAAACTGGACATAGCTCAAATTAAGTGAACCAGTATAACTATTTGTGCATTCTCCTCATCCTTCAATATTACTTACTTTGCGCTTGTTCTATTTCATTTTTCAACAAAGCTTTGGACGAAAACATACTTGACCTTGTTAAAACTACTTTACTAGAAGAAAACGTTTTCCAGACGGAAAACTAGTTTACTTAATCTCTTACGTTGAAAATTAGTTTTTCTGAAAAAAAAAATCATTAGACAGAAAAGTCTACTTAAGTTTTCCAACCAAAAGTATTCTTGAAAAATAACTAAAATTTTCCTTCGAATCCGAACACACACATTCAACCCCCCACCCCTTCTGTGTGTATTTCCGCTAACCTCATGAGTTTGTTATTAGAGAATGATATTTGAACATAAAAAGAAAGAAATCCCCTTCTAAAGTTTCCCCTTGACAAGGTGTTTCCCCTTTTAGGCTTTCACAATTTGAGCTATTGTTCTGTTTTCTAATACAAACTATTTTGGATGCCTTCTCCTTTCATTCATTTTCTATTTATGCTAACCAATAAACCAATTCTATAATAATATTATGTTACCAGTTCAATAATACTTTGCAAACATACAAATCAATATTAGTTGGACATATTTACATGTATTTCTCTTTCTAAAATTAATATTTTCTGCATTTTAAGTTTCCAACATTAAAAATTCTACTTGTAGAAAAGAATTTTTTTTATAGTTAAACTAAAGCAACTTCTTGTAATTATGCTATTCATCTTTAGCATCCTTTGAAGTTGAATAAAATTATCATTCTACATATCCTTTAAAGATTCTTTGGTCTTCATTGTTTCAAACATGATAAAATAAAGCATCCTAGTTCAATTTGTTAAAGATTTGTTGGATGAAATATTTTCCTTTTTCATCAAGCAACCCAATTTTACTTTAAATTTCATTGTTATACCCTCCAATAACCTTAACTTCCATTGTTATACCTACAGTAATATGTTCAATTCAACTTTACTTAAAACTTACTTCATAGACCTTGCCTCCTCATTGACATAAGATCCATCTTTTTTCTTGTGAGTTGCAATATATAGTTCACCTCGACCACAACACGTCCAAACTCTACTTCCTAATAAAAATGGCTCATGTAAGTCCAAAGGAACAATATAAATATTTCTTTATTAAGTTTCATCAATAGAACACAAATATTTACCATCTCATGTTGTTTTGTAGACAATAATTTCACCCCATGAGTATATGGAATCGTTTGTTTCTTTCTGACTTCAGTATTTTTTGTGTGCATAATTCCTAATAAATAAACAATTTATTTATTAAAATATGAAGCTCAAAAAGTAGTTAATAGTCACAAATATTTGTTAAAACTACCTGATAATTTGGCCTTAGATGATAGTCAACAAATGATGACCATTGATCTTTATGAATACCATCAAGGACTTAGCAATTAATTGTTCTCTTGATAATGAAAGATCATAAACATAGTTCCACATATTCACCTTTCCATTCCTATACTTTCTTAACATGGCAAGTGAACAATAACGCTTCGCAATTAATTTTAAAACTTGAAAATGAAATAGATTCATTAAACAAAAAAAAATGTTAGTATATCATAATTAAAGAATAGGAAAACAAAATCAAAGTTAATGGGAACATTAGTTGTGTACCTTTAAAATGTTAAAGCAATCATCCTTATATGGTTTTGGAACTTTTAGCCAACTATCAAAGTTAATAGGAACATTTTTTGAATCGGTGGAAATACACCTACAAGCTCCTAAAAGAAGTGTCGTTGCTTCTCCATAGACTTGCTTTTTCTTATCAAATGACACAACTATACGTTCACCACGTGGCACCTCAAATACTCCTGGCTTTGTTAACTGACCCAGATAATAATCTTGGTGCATCCCTTTTTTCAATTGTGTAATCAAAATGATTTTTCATCAATCTAAACTTATGACCCCTCTCCAAAAATTTTCGATGTCCCATAAAACACCATTTATAAATACTTCTTAGTCAACAAGGAAAAGCATCAAAATTACAAGTCAAGCACCTATGTCCATTATATGTATTCCACCCAGATAAAGTACAAAGCCCGGGAAAATCACTAATTGTCCACATGAGAGCTGCTCGTGTTCTGTCTTGACATTTTGAGAAGTTGCCAATTGACCCTTCAAACTAATTACTTCCTTTTTTAATTGAGAATTTTCAATGGAATCAAAATTCAAAGAACTGTACCCTACACCACTAAATCTTGTGGATGATTGAAATGCAACGCTATGTAGACCTCTTAATCCAAAGCAACGTACACGTCTAGAATGATCTTAGATCGGAAGCCATTCTGGGCCACGAATTTGGCCTTTGGCCCACGAAAAATGGGTTGTTACAGCATTAAAGGATGATGCAAGCTCACTTAAGCGAATGAGCCACTCGCTCTAGGTGAGCTAGAATTCTCTTGGAACAATAAGTGCTCTAAATGAGGGAAGTCGGAGACTACCTCTAAAAGGATCAAACAAACCTACTTTAGTGAACCATATGGACACTCTAAGCGAGCATGCACAAATAGAAGCCCATTTAAAATATTATAAATTAGGACTTTTAGGAAGTCTTGGCATCTTAGCTTTTATAATTACAAATTTTGAGGGATTAGAGAGATTTCTAAGTGAGAGTAATTTTGTAATCACAAATGACTCGAAGATCCCATTTTTTGTGTGTAATCCTTAGTCATGAGTATCTAAGTCTCTACTATTGAAGATTGGCGTAGCTGTTTTACTCCCGTAATTCTCTTGGTTCTCGTTGAATACAATGTCGTCTTTGTTTAGTTAAACGTTTTTACTTTATACTTAATGTTTGTTGTGACTTGATGCATGTGCTAAATCAATTTTTTGATTATGATGCATGGTGAACATATTGAACATCCATTAACTCGACAACAAATTACTAATATTGGATATGACTACATACATAAAGCATTAAATGATGATCTTTTCATAGCTTGACAAGTATATAGAATGTATCCTATTGCATTTCAAAATTTATGTGCAATTCTTAGAGAAAAAACACTTTTGGAGGATACAAGATTTATTTGTGTTGAAGAAATTCTTGCATCTTTCCTACAAATCATCAGTCAAAATAGTATATATTTTGTAATTTGTAATACATTTGGCCATCAAAATCTGATTTGATGGCTAAAACGAGAACAATTATGCCTACTAAAATAAGTGGAAGCACAAAATTTTATCCTTACTTCAAGGTATGCGATAATTACTAATTTATAAAAAAATTGAAATTATATTTATCATTATTATAATACATATGTGAATATTTTTAGGATTGTATATTAGAGCTATTGATGGTACTCATTTTCTGAAAATATGGTGAAGGGACAAGATGTAAGCAATTGTCGTAATCTTCATGGAAAGATATCACAAAATGTAGTAACTTGTAACTTTGATTTGGAATTTATATATGCTCTTAGTGGGTGAGAGGGTTTGGCTTATAGTTTCAAGTTATTAAGTGATGTTTTGACCGGGAGAAATGGACTTAAAATGCCCCAAGGTAATTTTTTTAATAATAAATATTTTTAAACTTTCATTGATTTTATGTGTTGTATATGTAATTAGGTAAATATTTTCTAGTGGATTAATTGTTTATTTCCTGATAAACCCCAATATTTAGCTCTATTTCGAGGTGTGTGATATCATCTTCAAGATTTTGCAGGTCATGGTAATGACCCTAAAAATGAAAATTAAGTATTCAATTTATACTGTACATCCTTAAGAAATGTGATTGAGAAGATATTTAGTATTTTTACATCACGCTTCATAATTTTTAAGTTAGTGCTTCCATTTCTATTTAAGACACAAGTTGAATTTGTATTAACATATGTGTAACATTACATAACTTTCTTTGCAAAGAATATCATTCTGATGAATTTTCAATTGAGTGATTAGCGGACGAGTCTTCATCTTCGATACTACCGGTTAATGAAGAACATATTTTAAACATATTGTTCAAACTCAAGAATATGAAAGAGAATGTCAATACATGGAATACATATATAACTTTAGATATGTAGAGAAATGTTAGTTAGGAAGAGATTAAAGTCAATTATTTGGCAATAGATATAGACAATTATTTATTAAAAGATAGAAAAAAATTGAGTTATTTTACTTTTTTTTTTAATTATTTGTTATATATTTTTTTATTAATTCTTAGAGCATTAAATGTGTTTTACAAATATGTGTACCTGTAAAATCTATAAATCCTTTAAAATCTTATAATATAAATTCATTAAAATTCGTTAAAATTCAAACTATAAAGTCTGGATTAAAATCTATATTATAAAAGTCTTTTAAAAGAAAAATCTTAAAAGTTATAACATTTTTTCAAAGTTTTTTAAAATCTATTAAAATTCAAAAGACTTTTTCATGTTAAAATAATCCTTTAAAATTTCAATCTTTCCTAAATGTTGACAATTTCATAAAATTGTACTTAAATATTGTAATCGTTTATTAACACCTGCGGTCCATTTTTTTCTTTCATAAAAGCGATTGTTATAAAATAAAAAAATTAATATTATTAATATTGGATTTTATTTTATAAAAGTCAACCACCCGAATTGTAATATTGCACGCTAGTATCCTTATCAAACTTCTTTCCCTTTTAATCTTTAATTGGGAAAACACTTTATATTGTATTATCTGCTTTCAGGAATCCATCAAATTTTCAAAAGATATGGCTGAAATTGGTATTTGAGCAAGATTGTCTGGTTTTCTTTATAAAATTGAAAGTGCAAGGTTAAAAATAAAATAAAATAAAACTAGACAAAAGTCAAGCCATATATCATTGTGCAAATTCACTCCTACCATGGCCCCCAACTTCTTGTTTCTCCTGAAAGAAAGTAAGCGCATCATCAAAACTAGGTCTCGTCACTTCAGCATTCTCTTCCTCATCTTCCTCTTACCCCTCTCTGTCTTCTTTCAAATTCTCATTTTCTATTCCAACATCTCTCAAACACAACAACAACAACAAAAACAAAAAACCATAAACCCCTTGTTTTATGTCCTCTACTTTGTTTTCGTTTTGGTCTTCTACACATGTGCCCTAAGCAGCATCACATACAGTGTTTACCATTTCTTCTATGGTAGACCCGTGAAGCTCTTACCCTCCATCTTCTCTTCCTTCTTACCCCTCCTTGTCACCATGTTACTATCTTTCCCATGTTCCTTTTCATTGGCGCTTCTCATCATTTTAGGGTTTGGGATTGTGGATGTAACGAGTTTAGGGTTCTTTGTTGTGCTTCCTTTGGTGCCTGTGGTTGTGGTGATGTATTTGAAAGTTAATTGGACCTTGGTGCCAGTGATAGTGGCAGTGGAATCACGTTGGGGTTTGGAACCCTTTAGGAGGAGTGAGAGATTGATGAAGGGAATGAAAGTGGTGGCACTATCTCACTTATTGATCTCAGGGTTCTGGGTGGGGATCTTGGTGCGGATATGCTCAAATTTGATGAAGGGTGTTTATGGAATTTGCCATGGTAGCTGGGCTAATGGGACAGTAATTGGTGCAAGTTCTTGTTTGGTTGCTACCTTTTTGCTTAATGATATTGCCGTCAGCACGGTCTTGTACATATATTGTAGGGCTAATCATGGGGAGCAGTTCGGGAAAAACTATGTTCGGTTGATATCTCCTGATGGAGATGTAGAGAAAGAAAATTGTGGAAAAAGAAAATGCAGATAATTTTTTTTATTTAGTTAGAGAAAAGTTTACTTTTTAATTAAACATAATTTTTTTTATTATAATTTTCCTCCGCCAAACAGATCTTAATGGATTATAATCGTCAAACAAATTTTTATAATATTTTTTAAAAAAGGAATACTTGAATTTTCAAATCATGATTACTGTTAAGTAGGATCGTGATTATATGGAAATCGTTGAAAAGAATAATGAATTGAATCCCTAAAAGGATTATAATTATCTTATTTACTTAAATAATGTATTTTAAAATAATATGAATCAATAAAGTTGTGCACAATTAGTTTTAATTACATAGACATGTTTTGTAGATAGTCGGAGACTTATTTTTTTAATTAAATTAAAATTCGACTATTGATTGGAAGATATCATTGGTACAAATAAAAAATAATGTTTTTCATACAATATTTAATTTAATTACAGTTTATATTGTATAAATCATACACTATTAATTAATTTTAAATATCTTTCACATAATACTTAATTATTGTTGATATTGTCATAATTATATAAGATTAAGTTTAAGTTATACTTTTGTCTTTTATAATTTTTTAAATGTGATTTTGTTTCTCTCGTGTTTTTTTAATTATGCAATTTCAATCTTTCAATTTTCAAAATTATCCAATTTTAGAGTTGTTACTTCCAAGAAGTAACACGGTAACCTTGAATAATAATGCTAATACAAATGAAATCTCCTCCTTTCTTTCCGATCTTTCTCCGAGTTATTACATGCTTTTCCTCTTATCTCGTGTTTGGTGTCCACCTAAAAAACGATCAACATTAAGATTGTTTTATGTTTCATAATCATTTATCTAATGTATGATGGTTACTCCGAGAAACCCGATAACTGCCATTCCACCATTCTCTCCTCTTTCTGTTTGGCTGAGTTATTATTAATTATGTTTGGCAAACCTAAGCTATATCTAATAATACTTGGTTCACCGTACATAGTTTCGAGCGTCAGAGACGTGAAGAGATTGAACTAAAAGCACGTGACTAAAATTATATACTAAAAATAACATATAAAAGAAAGAAAAATATCAAAAATCTCACGCCTTTTATTGGCACCTGTTTCTCTTCTTGAAATTTTTCGACCATAAGTTTGTTGAAAATGTCAGGTTCATTGAATTCGAGATATTATTTACTTTGACATTTATTAGTCCGTTACAATTTTGTCTTTGAAAATGTGTATCAATAGATTATGGAGCAATAGTATTTATAAATTACTCTTAATCTTGATTTCTAAGTGATGTGAGACTTTTAGACATACTAGAACAAGAATATTTCGATCGTAAGTCAACTAACACTATTAGGGTTACAAAGCTTGATATATTGTCTACTTTGACACTCTTTGGGTTGTCACGATTTTATCCTTGAAAAGACACTTTGGTAGGTTAAGGAGGGAGGGTGTTTATAAACTACCCTTAACTTCAATTCCTAAGCGATTTGAAACTTTTAGGCATACTAGAACAAAAATGTTCGATCATAAGTCAGTTAACACTATTAGGATCATCACATCTAAGGTACTGCCCACTTTGACACTCATTGGACCGTTACAATTTTATCCTTAAAAAGGCACTTTGGTGGGTTAAGGAGGGGGAGTGTTTATAACTATCTTTAATCTTAAGTCCTAAGCGATGTGAGACTTTTAGACTTTTGGGAACAATCCCCCAATCGAGGCTAAAGGGCAAGAGTGGCATAAGCCCTCCTTCTAGTGTCAATGTCCTAATTGTAAGTTTGTCAACATCATTAGGATCACTGCATACAAGATATTGTTCATTTTAGCGCTTGTTGATGTGAAACTTTTAGGCTTTTGGGAACAAGCCTCCAGTCGAGGCTAAAGGGCAAGAGTGACCTAGGTTTTTCTTTTAGTGCCAATGTTCTAATTGTAGGTTTATCAGCATCGTTAGAATCACCGCATTTGAGATATTGTTTACTTTAGCATTCACTGATGTGAGACTTTTAGGCTTTTGGGAACAAGCTCCCTATTGAGGCTAAAGGACAAGAGTGACCTAGGTCCTCCTTCTAGTGTCAATCTTCCAACTATAAGTTTGTTAGGATTGTTAGGGTCATCACATCTAAGGTATTGTTCGTTTTAGCGCTTGATAGGTCATCATGATTTTGTCCTTGAAAAGGTGACTCTAGTTGGTTAAGGAGGGAGGTTGCTTAAAAACTACTTATAGCCTCGATTCGTATGCGACGTGGACTTTTAAGTACATCGAAACAAGCCCCCAAGTCAAGGCTAATGGGCAATAGTGGTTTATGCCCTCCTTTTAGTATTAATGTTTCGAATGTAAGTCTTTTGGCATCGTTAGAGTTGTCACAGCTAAGGTATTATCTGCTTTGTCACCTATTGGGTCATCATGATTTTTTCCTTGAAAAGAAGCCTTGATGAGTTAAGGAGGGAGGGTGTTTGAGGCATACAAGAATAATTGTCATCTATTAATTATATATAATTTGAACCGAAGACTAATATTATATATGATTTAACTATTTAGACCACTAAGCCATAAGGTGGTTGGTGTAGTTTGCACAAAGGCTTAGGTTTAAAATTGTTGTGTCATTAAGGTAATTCCAATGGATCCAAAAAACAAAAACCGCTAAACCATATACCTTTTTGAGTTATAATATGAACTATATTATATAAAACATTAATGAAAGAGTAAATTGTAGAAATGATAAGAAAATGTGTGTTTATTACCGCACATGTAATCCTCTATTTATAATAAATAAGGATAAAAAAAAATATATGAAAATAAAAGATAACAAGTAATAATGTGTAGAATCCCTAATTTCTACTATATATACAAGCTCCTCTAATTACAAAAGAATCATATCATATCAAAATGTCATCAACTTAGGAGCCCTTGAGGGATTTAAGGAATATATCTACCAATTGGTCACTAGATCTAACAAAATAAATAATGATCTCACCTAATATATAGGACCTTCTCTCTCACAACGTGACAATCAATCTTTTTGTGTGTAGTCTGCTCATGGAAGATCAGGTTTGACACAACATGGAGATTGGAGAGCAAATTGATTGTTGCTAGCATAGCACAATAATCAACTTCAAAACTAGATCTGGCAATGGTGTTTTGCTTCTTACTTCATCATGAGATCAACTTCCCTCCAATAAGATTGCAATATCAAGAGGTGGACCTTTTATCTGATGGTGATCCTACCCAATCAACATCATAGTAACAGATAATCTCAGCATTGCCTTTGTCTTCATAAAGTATTCCATGACCTAGTGCATTCTTGATATATCAAAGAATGTTGATCACTGCATCCCAATGACTATCACAAGGGGCGCTCAAGAACTAAATGACAACACTGATAGCAAATGAGATGTTTGGTCTAGTGACATTGAGGTAATTAAGTCTACCTACCAAACAATGATATCTTCCCAGGTTTTTCAATGACCCCCCTGACCTAGAAAAAGCTTCAAATTAGGATCCATAGGTGTATATCACTAAGGCCACAATCGAGCAAAGAAATCTTTGATAAAATGCTTATAGCATACTTACATTGGGAAATGGTAATGCCAGAGGAGGATTGGGCAACTTCAATTCCCAAGAACTATTTGAGTGGACCTAAGTCTTTTGTTTGAAATTGACTCGTAAATGAGATTTGAATCAAATAATACCATCTACATCATTGATAGCAATGACAATGTTACCAATATAGACGACCAAGTAGATGCAAGGGTCACCTAAAGTATCACTACAAGAAAAATGTAAATTACTATCGGATAATTTTCGACGAATATAAATCTGTCTGAAATAAATTTTACTATAATTAATATAGAAAAAATTGATCAGCTTTGAAATAAATTATAAATTCAGTAACAATATAGTTGAAAAATTAATTATTTTAAATTATTTAACTAAAATCTTATTGACAATTTATTATATGATCTTGATGTTTTTGTATAACGAATATCTGATTTTAAATTTGATATGAAAATATTATGATATAATTAAATAAGATTTTAAATTATTATTTTATTAATGATTGATAATTAGAAAATAAAACAAGAATAAATACATTTTTTGAATTTCATATCTTAAGTTTAAGATAAATAAATATATTAAGTTAATTAATAATTTATTTAAAATATTACAATTTAATTTATAAGTATGTAATAAATAAATATTTATAATTTTATAAATTATATTATCATTATAAATTATAAAAATAATATTTTAAATTAGGTGTGCTGCTTAGGCCGATTGTAAAAGTAAGTATATATACAAATAAAGATTAATTAAATAAATATATTTATTATTTAGTAATATAATTATTATATATATTATTATATTTTTATAACAGTCCGGACACACCGGAATGAGAGGGATCCAGAGATAGTACACGTATGAGGTTGTATAGTTAAGGATGACTTAAATGAATTAATTTGTACTATGTATACTAACAACATGCATCTACTTTTCGGTAGCTTATCTTATCAGAACTTTACAGTTAAACGTGCTTGACTTGGAATAATATGGGAACGAGTGACCTTTCGGGAAGTTTCCCAGAAATTGTGCAAGTAAAGACAAAACATGCTGAAAAGTGAAGTGTCGTGAAATGGAATCCTAAAGATATCAAATATGAGAGGTGTTACATTAATAAATTTATTAAAATTAAACAAAAATTTTCCAACGGATTTATTCGTCGAAATTACATAAAGATTTTTAAACAATTCTTGACGAAAATTTCCGATGAATAATTACCGACGAATATATTCGTCTAAATTTTTGACAGATTAAATTGTTTCCGATTGATTTTTTTCATGCCTCTTGTAGTGTATGGAAGGAAAACATCAACTGATCAACCTCATAATAATTCGTGCCAAATTATATTAAGGTAGAGCTAAAACAACCAAATCAAGCATGAGGGGTCTCTTCAAACCATATAGAGAACATAGAAGTTGACAAACTAAGCAAGAGTCATCTGAAATTGTAAAACTTGGTGATTGATCC